GGTTTGTGTCCTCAGAGCCACAGCTTTCGGTGTGCTGAATGGCACATGTAAGCTGGCAGCTATCATCAGCACTTTCACCTTTGGCAAGGTAATCGGCATCACCAAGATCATCCCCATCATCCTGTCCTTCTCAGCGCTAGTGTGTGGAGGACTGCTAGCGTTTAAGTTACCTGAGACACGAGAGGTCATTCTTCAGTGAAAAAGCCAAACTCCTCAAGGCCTCTGCATTTGGTCCAGCTGGACACTGGATGAGCGCATGCTGGACAGGAAAATGGCTGAATATGGTGTCATGCTAGAACCACTGTACCGTAGTATTACGATCGTAGTATTACTACTTTTAAACTAAAGTTGTAGAGCACATATGTGACCCTGGAGCACAAAACCAGTCTTAAGTCGGCTGGGGTATATTTGTAGCAAAAGCCAAAAATACATTGTATGGGTCAAATTTATCGATTTTTCTTTTATGCCAAAAATCATTAGGATATTAAGTAAAGATCATGTTCCATGAAGATATTTTGTAAATTTCCTACCGTAAATATCAAAACTTCATTTTTGATTAGTAATATGCATTGCTAAGAACTTCATTTGGACAAATTTAAAGGCGATTTTCTCAATATTTAGATTTTTTTTGCACCCTCAGATTCCAGATTTTCAAATTATTGTATCTCGGCCAAATATTATCCTATCCTAACAAACCATACATCAATGGAAAGCGTATTCTTTCATCTGTCAGATGATGTATAAATCTCAATTTCCAAAAATTGACCCTTATGACTGGTTTTGTGGTCCAGGGTCACATATTTGTTTAAAGTGTCCACAGAGGCTATATTTTGAGTAAGTAATCCATAGTTTGGAAATATGGGGAAATATATTTGCAACAATTATACAAATTATTTAGATTTGAGCATCATTATCAAATTCCCTTTTTTGTTATATTGGAACAAATAGTAACTTTTTGACTGTAAGTTCAATCTTTAAATGAGATCTCTGCATTTTACTTTTATTTAATATGTAAAAATGTTGTTCTTTGTTTTTTGGTGCAAAAATCTTTACACCAACTTCATCCGCTAGTTTTTGTTGTGTTGTATTTGTTAATACTGTGGTATGTTTATTTCACATTAGATAATTATATTTTCACCGTGTTTTAAGTCTAATGTTCTTGGATTCCCATCTTTTCAATTATTGTTTGTCATGCCTTTTAATTAGAAAATTATACAGAATGAAAATATTGTTTGTATGAGGATAGATATTTTTAAATTTGACTTATGTGAAGTGTGTATAATGCTCATTTCCTGTGAAAAAAATATATAGATTATGTGATTTTGATTTTATTTCTCTGTTTTAAACACAAAATAGTAGTTTTAAGAGTTTCTTTTTTTTCACTTTTGACCACAAATTTTCAGCATCATTACTCCAGTCTTCAGTGTCACATGAAATCATTCTAATATGCTGGTTTGCTGCTCAAGAAATATATCTTATCAATACTGAAAACAGTGCTGGTTAATATTTTTATGAAAACGGTGGTTTTTTTCAGGATTATAAAAAGTTCTATAGAACAGCATTTATTATAAATACAAACCTTTTGTAACATTAGAAATTGCTTTATTGTCACGTTTGATCAAATAAATGCGTCCTTGCTGAATAAAAGTATTGATTTCTTCATAAAAAATCTCAAATGGCTGGTAAATGGTAACATAAATTTAACAAAAAATAAACATAGATTTAGATCATTAAAAATCTTTAGATATTATACTGCGGTCAACGTGTAAAGCATGAAAAGCTTTCGGTGTGCTGAATGGCACATGTAAGCTGGCAGCTATCATCAGCACTTTCACCTTTGGCAAGGTAATCGGCATCACCAAGATCATCCCCATCATCCTGTCCTTCTCAGCGCTAGTGTGTGGAGGACTGCTAGCGTTTAAGTTACCTGAGACACGAGAGGTCATTCTTCAGTGAAAAAGCCAAACTCCTCAAGGCCTCTGCATTTGGTCCAGCTGGACACTGGATGAGCGCATGCTGGACAGGAAAATGGCTGAATATGGTGTCATGCTAGAACCACTGTACCGTAGTATTACGATCGTAGTATTACTACTTTTAAACTAAAGTTGTAGAGCACATATGTGACCCTGGAGCACAAAACCAGTCTTAAGTCGGCTGGGGTATATTTGTAGCAAAAGCCAAAAATACATTGTATGGGTCAAATTTATCGATTTTTCTTTTATGCCAAAAATCATTAGGATATTAAGTAAAGATCATGTTCCATGAAGATATTTTGTAAATTTCCTACCGTAAATATCAAAACTTCATTTTTGATTAGTAATATGCATTGCTAAGAACTTCATTTGGACAAATTTAAAGGCGATTTTCTCAATATTTAGATTTTTTTTGCACCCTCAGATTCCAGATTTTCAAATTATTGTATCTCGGCCAAATATTATCCTATCCTAACAAACCATACATCAATGGAAAGCGTATTCTTTCATCTGTCAGATGATGTATAAATCTCAATTTCCAAAAATTGACCCTTATGACTGGTTTTGTGGTCCAGGGTCACATATTTGTTTAAAGTGTCCACAGAGGCTATATTTTGAGTAAGTAATCCATAGTTTGGAAATATGGGGAAATATATTTGCAACAATTATACAAATTATTTAGATTTGAGCATCATTATCAAATTCCCTTTTTTGTTATATTGGAACAAATAGTAACTTTTTGACTGTAAGTTCAATCTTTAAATGAGATCTCTGCATTTTACTTTTATTTAATATGTAAAAATGTTGTTCTTTGTTTTTTGGTGCAAAAATCTTTACACCAACTTCATCCGCTAGTTTTTGTTGTGTTGTATTTGTTAATACTGTGGTATGTTTATTTCACATTAGATAATTATATTTTCACCGTGTTTTAAGTCTAATGTTCTTGGATTCCCATCTTTTCAATTATTGTTTGTCATGCCTTTTAATTAGAAAATTATACAGAATGAAAATATTGTTTGTATGAGGATAGATATTTTTAAATTTGACTTATGTGAAGTGTGTATAATGCTCATTTCCTGTGAAAAAAATATATAGATTATGTGATTTTGATTTTATTTCTCTGTTTTAAACACAAAATAGTAGTTTTAAGAGTTTCTTTTTTTTCACTTTTGACCACAAAAAAAGTTTATTCAAATGTATTTTATTTTAATAGGTCAGCACTGATTAAATGCTGCAAAAGGGCCTCCATAGCAAGTCTTAATAGCTTTATGTCAAATCGAAAATATATTCTTTTTGTATTTGTTCACAAATTTAAATAAGAAAAGATCGAATTATGTTGTTTTTTTTCTTCTGGTTTGTGATGGTGTAAAAATAAAATATAAAACATAATTTTACTTCTGATTTTCAGTGTCTGATGTTCTTTCTCAGCACAATATATTAAAAATGGGAAAGAAAATTAGAAAACCAGTGTTTTGGTCTTATTTTAAGTTCCCATACTTTTCTGTGAGTATGTGAACATGGAAAGGCACTTGTAAAAACAAAGCCAGGGCTCACGTGTGAATCAGTCACACCTCTTGTGATGGTCATTTATTTATGCAAAGGTGTGAAACAAAATCCAGATAATTCTTTCACCAGATTTACTTGATTATAAGTTTCTGTGCATTCTCGTAAAAGCTAAATATGCTACTCTTCTCATTTTTCTTTTTTTATTTCTTATATTCTTAAGTTTGTGGCTGCATAATGTTTTCCTCTAGTTAATCATTTAGAAAACCATCATCAGCATTACTTTTCAGTGATGTCAAACTGGGATGATAGTTTTAATCATGCACAATGTGCTTCTCGGTTTAAATCTACTCTGTGATTAAGTCGGTTGTCACGTTTCATACCAAGGGTGTGAAAGGCCTCACTTTGCTAGGTATTGCCAGGCCACAGTAAAAAAAAATTATTTACCCAGTAAAAGTACAGTAACTAAAGTCAAAGCAGGTAACATGCAAATTACCAACTGTACAAATGCATTGTCATGCATGTTTCCACTGCAAAAAAATAAGCACGAGGAACAGATATTTGAGTTGTGTTTCCTTGGGCGTTTGATAGAAGTGTGGAAAGACACACACAGGTGCCAGCGTCACTCATTCTACTGCAGTACAGAGGTGCCAAATCTAGCACGCTGCTCATTCACTCTCACACTACAGAAACACAGAGAGGCAGCCTGGAGGTCACAGCATCGGTCACTGAGGTCAGAGAATCCATGCTCAAGCAGTGGATCTGGAAGATTTGAACAGTTATCTGGTTCCATTATATCTAAGGGCAAACTAGTCAAAACTATTATGGCAACAAATGCTCATTTTTATTATTTGGAAACCTCAGTGTGGCTGACATGATAACATGATTGGAAATCACTTTCTTGGAAGCAGCACAGGTTATTAGATATGGATAAGCTGTTTGGTGGGACTGATTTAATTTTCTGGTGTGGTTATGTTTACACACATTACAGACGTGACGTCATCTATTGTACTCACCGCTCGTTCATCGCAAAGCTCGCGGCTTATTTCAACTTCTGAAGCTCTGTGAACTTTTGTTTTAATCGAGATTGTATTATTATTTTACTTTCGAGTATTTTTTTTTTTTTTTGGTCTGTATACACACTTCTGCGTTCACATTCAAACAGTCGCGCGACGACAAACAGTGTTGCCAAGTCCGCGGTTTTCCCGCGGAATTGGGCTACTTTAACACTGTTGCCGCTGGTTGTTTTTCATGTCCGCGGGCTGAAGTGACCCCAATGACGTGATATTTAGCCCCTAAAATGCGAATGTATTTTATTTCCCCGAATGCAATTTTTTGCAATTTTTTAGTTTACTCGAAACGCGATTGGGCTAGTTTTGAGTAGCAATTGGGCGGGTTTTGTTGTGAAAACCTGGCAACCCTGACGACAGACGTCATCGCTACGACACACATTCTACAAGGCCTCGACAACAACGCTATCGAACTTTCCAGAATTCCTGCTCCGATTTGCATTCAAGACTTTCCAGAAATGTAAAGGCATTTTCCAGAATCAAAATCCAGTGTGAAGAATCAAGTCGACAGGTGGCATTTAACTCAACAATCTCCCAGAACAATATAGAAACCACATAGCAACACGCCAACATTATTTTGATTACATAAATGCAGCCTTTGTGTCTTATCATCTCCAAACGTTTTAGTGATACTCTGTACATTATACATTTAATAAATTGTATATTAATATTTTTCAATTTAATAAAATATGTAAGTCTAAATGTTAAAAAAAAGCTTATAGCTTATATTTCTAACTATAGCCTACACTGATCAATCAATCTGTTGGACTACAATTAGTTTTTTTTTTTTTAATGTACTCATTATCACTTTGAATCTCTGAATGAGAGCCACTTCACTGACCACAGTGACTATATCGACTGCAAAACTGGTCACCAGTCTGTGTGAATGTCACACCTCAAGTGCAATCTGCTAATGGAGTTTATTAAGCATCATTAAACACAATTAAGGTCAATTATGCTGCTTAGCTCTTTGAAATACAACCCCATACAGACAGCTGGCAGCAGTTTTGAATTATTAGGCTGAGGATTGGGACCATATCTATAATTTGCTGTAGCATGCTTCCACTGATAGTGGGAATCATCAAATGATTAAGCTCAACTGTTTTACCTTACTAGTTTAACCTAAATCTAAAAGATATCAAATGCTACTGAAACACGGTTATTTGATATACATTTGATATACATTATAAGGGTATTATATATAGGGTCAAGTTTTTTTTTTTTTATGTGGTTCACCAATGCTGCATTTATTTTAATAAAAATACAGAAAAAACAGTAATGCTGTGAAATATTACAAGTTAAAATAACTGGGGTTTTTTTATTTGAATATATTTTAAAATGTAATTTATTTCTGATACAAAGCTTAATTTTCAACAGCCATTACTCCAGTCTTCAGTGTCTCATGATCCTTCAGAAATCATCTTAATAAACTGATTTGCTGCTCAAGAAATATTTATTCTAATTCTAAAAGTTGAAAACAGTTGTGTTGCCTAATATTTTTGTGGAAACCATGATGCATTTTTTCAAGATTCTTTGTTGAATAGAAAGTTCAGAACAGCCTTTGTTTTTATATCTTTTGTAACATTATATCTTTATAATGTTAATGTTATAATTATATCTTTACTGTCACTTTTGAATTATTTAATATATCCTTGCTGAATGAAACTATTAATTTCTTTTTTAAAAATCCTCTTTTTTGTGAATTATCAGAGGTGAGTTTCTTAGATAAATTAAAATCTTTTAAAGTTTTAAACAGAACCCATACATTGTTTGGTCAGTTGCACAAGATGAGTTTTCTGGGAGAGTAGCTGCACTAGTTTGTTGTTTTGAAGAGGAGTCAAAATTCACACCTCTGCTCCTGCGGCCTCTCCGAGTCTTTCCCAGACAGATCCAGGCCGGATCCTGGGGTCTGAGAGACAGAGAGGGCTACCGTAGGCCTGCAGAGGTGTCACCTCGCACCTCTGAGTCCAACATATAAACCTCCAGCCCTCATTCCAGCCTTCATTCACCCTCAGAGTCGCAATATGGAAAGCTCAAGCCACAGCCAGCAGAACCAGTGGAGCTGCTCGAGCTCAGAGTCAGAGTTTTACAGCGTTTCCTCTCCAGACACCGTCTCGCCGGATCCATCCATGGACCGGGGCTTCTCCCCGTCCCACCGGGCCCAGCCTGCATGCTCAAAATCAGTCAAACCTGCAGGTGTCGTCAAGAAGAAACGCAGATTAAGGCTGAAGAACCCGAGCGAGCAACGGCAGAATGCCAGTGAGAAGGAGAAGCTGAGGATGAGGGATCTTACCAAAGCTCTCCACCATCTCAGGACCTACCTGCCTCCGTCCATAGCTCCCGTAGGCCAAACCCTGACCAAGATCGAGACGCTCCGGCTCACCATACGCTACATCTCGTTTCTGTCTGCTCAGCTGGGTCTCAGTGAAGAAGAGCTGAACCACAGGAACTCCAGCGGCTGCTCCTATTCTCCAGAGATCGTTGGTTATTTTCAGTATAGGTCTATGGCTGGAGATTGGGTTGAGCAAGGACAGGGTCACTATGATGGACAGTATGAGGGTTGCTCTGGTCATGCAGGGCACTCTGATGAGATCAACATGGCTCAGTATGGTGGTTCCTCACAGCAGCATTCAACAGAGCAAAACTTCTCTGCAAATGTAGATGGCTTCCTCCAGTCACAACAGTGTGCTCAAACATCACAGACATGCCAGGTATGTAAATACTGCTTACGGTTTTTTTTTTTATGGATGATAAAATAATTATCTACTTTTAATATAATTTTTTAATTATTTAATTATATTGAAATATAATTTATAAAATATTTATTTATATTATCACTTATATTATAATTATATTTATCATCTAGTTATACATTTAAATATAATTTATTATATGCATGTATGTATATATATATATATATATATATATATATATATATATATATATATATATATATATATATATATATATATATATATATATATATATATATATATATATATATATATATATATATATATATATATATATATATATATATATATATATATATATATATATATATATATATATATATATATATATATATATATATATATATATATATATATATATATATATATATATATATATATATATATATATATATATATATATATATATATATATATATATATATATATATATATATATATATATATATATATATATATATATATATATATATATATATATATATATATATATATATATATATATATATATATATATATATATATATATATATATATATATATATATATATATATATATATATATATATATATATATATATATATATATATATATATATATATATATATATATATATATATATATATATATATATATATATATATATATATATATATATATATATATATATATATATATATATATATATATATATATATATATATATATATATATATATATATATATATATATATATATATATATATATATATATATATATATATATATATATATATATATATATATATATATATATATATATATATATATATATATATATATATATATATATATATATATATATATATATATATATATATATATATATATATATATATATATATATATATATATATATATATATATATATATATATATATATATATATATATATATATATATATATATATATATATATATATATATATATATATATATATATATATATATATATATATATATATATATATATATATATATATATATATATATATATATATATATATATATATATATATATATATATATATATATATATATATATATATATATATATATATATATATATATATATATATATATATATATATATATATATATATATATATATATATATATATATATATATATATATATATATATATATATATATATATATATATATATATATATATATATATATATATATATATATATATATATATATATATATATATATATATATATATATATATATATATATATATATATATATATATATATATATATATATATATATATATATATATATATATATATATATATATATATATATATATATATATATATATATATATATATATATATATATATATATATATATATATATATATATATATATATATATATATATATATATATATATATATATATATATATATATATATATATATATATATATATATATATATATATATATATATATATATATATATATATATATATATATATATATATATATATATATATATATATATATATATATATATATATATATATATATATATATATATATATATATATATATATATATATATATATATATATATATATATATATATATATATATATATATATATATATATATATATATATATATATATATATATATATATATATATATATATATAAATATATATATAAATAGTGCAGAAGCAGTAAAAATCATTATTTATGTACAGTCATCTATTTGTACATTACTTTTTAATATTACTTCATTTGTTTTAATGATATTAATATTTAGCTGAACTTTAACTAACTTTAGTTAAGTTTAATTAATCTGAAATAAAAAAATAACTGGCAGACCCCTTGCAGTAACGCAACTGACCCTCCTTGTGTCGCAAAACACCAGGTTGAAGATCATTGGTATAAGTTCATATTTTACATACTGCAAGTGTATCTGGTCACTATTTTCACTTTTCAACACTTTAAATAACCAAAACCTTCAGGAAAATGAATAAATACATGTAATAATAGGAAAACTAATAAAAGAATTATTTGCTTGATAAGACAAAATATATATTTTTTATTTTTATATATCAATGTAACTATCTTCATATATTTAACAAATATATTTCAAATATATTTACAGATGGCAAAATAATATCTGAATTCAGATATATATATATATATGTTATGAGCACTGAACACAAGGCAATTTTTCTTACTTTGAAAATAATGCCACAATCAGAGTCATGCAATTAACAGTTGAAAATGAACAAATCAAGCAAACAAACATATTTTGAAGTACTGTACTCTAACCAGTTATCTATCTAATCCTCTGTTTCAGGTGTATGGCAGAAACTTTGGCTATCATCTTGTTCCTCAAGCTTACTGGAGCTGACCGCAAAAACGTCTCCATCACACCCAATGCAAGACTGGTGCCTACTACTGTATTGTGTACAGTAAATGGATGTGGTTGTTTGGCTTGTGAAAGCAATAAATGTGAATCAAAGTTAATCCTGTTATTCTTATAATTTAAGTTATATGTGTTATCCTTGTCTGTCCTATGTAAATACAAAACTATATTTGATACGTATTTATAATAAAACATGCATTATTACAAATAGTTTCTCTTTTCCTGTTCTCTATACACTGGTGTTTCAGTCATGTTGACTACAATAAAAAATGTAATATTATGTTCATTCAAATATATCTAACATTTATAAATAGAAATCAAAGAGGGATTTTATATATAAAATTTATTTATTTTTTATTTTTGATGCGTGGTGTTTATTCTGTCCTTTCTGAATCACAGCCAGGAAGACTTGGCATTGGAGTCTAAAGAAAACATTACATTTAGCGCCCTCTATTGGTCATCTGACAACATTCACTAACAGTGATGACATTATACAGTTTTATCATAAACTGGCCTTTGTTATTGGCACAAAATTTACATAATATAGTGGTCAGTTATATTTGTAGATGGTCAGCTATAACATGACAAAATAATATTTTGTCCCTGTAAATCACTTGTGGTTTGGGTTGCTAACTTTCTATCACCTAAATGTGGGAACTACATGTCCCACAATGCTCCTCAACTACTTCCGGATTCAGGATCGCTTGAGTTAAAAAGTCCAACCTGTCACCAGATGTCAGTAAAGTCCGAGTAAAATAACCTACATACTAAAAAGTAAAAAATAAACATACTTCGTTCTTATCTTTTGAAATTGACTGTTGACAACAAAAGACAGGGTGAAAGTTTGTTTTACACGTTAATATAGTTATAGTTTGTAAACTGATGAATGACCGCGTTTTATAAGTTAAGTACGTCTTTAATGCGATTTGGCCTGTAGCTCATAAGACGTAGCCTACTTTTTAATACGAGGGTGGATTTATGTCAAGATGACCACTTGAACGTGTATGTTGTACGCCTAAATGAAATTAAATCGGTGTAGAAATGTTATTGAGCAATCAGTTTAGACCTTAGTCATGGAGGCAGAAGCAAATAGGTCTATTGAATTCTACGCGGAAACGATAGCACGCACTGTATAACGGTACAAATATTAAATAATCGTAATAAAAGAAATGCAGCACACAATATGACCAAACTTCCGTCGTGACAAGGTAACAAAGTTACGTTGTGACAACCAGGGGCGTAGCAAGCTTTTCAAAAGTGCGGGGGATGGATGTGGTTTGTTTATTAACAATAAAAACGATGAATACAGTGACAGAGGGGTAAAAAATGTATAACATACAAGATATAAAAAGCTTCCCATTTAAATGAGTGATACTAGATAAGTATAAAAACACACTCGGAACACACGGAAAATAAGTCAAAACTCTGTTGTGAAAATACACAACAGTAGACTTGCTAAAGAATCAGAAATACTTTAATAATCCCAGGGGGAAATTATTTTTTGTTACAAACTCCAGATATACAAACAACATATATTAAGAACAAAAAATATATATATATATGCAACCAACAACAACAACCAACTGACCAAAGAACATATGACCAACTACCTCTCATTTAAAAGAACCAAAAGTGCTCTTTCTACCCTCCTTACAGGAGACAAAATTTTACCAATCCCAAACATTTGAACAATAGTGTACATTTTGGCAATACCAAGGTTTCTGGACCTATATCTTGGTATTCAACAATGTTCTTTCTTTCTAACTGTGAAGCACCATGTAAACACTATTGTAAACATTCAGTACCATGGTATATATCCAAATATCACCACGTGATTATACCATGGTACTGCCAAACTATTTAATTCTAAGAAATACATTTGAACTAATGTTCAGGCTTCCTCAGAAAACAACAAGAGTTAAGAGCAAAAGTAAAGTGTTTGGGCAAAATCAATGGAAACTTGATTTGGTTTTTTGTTCATCTGTAGTTTAATAACTATTCCTGATGGATCTTTACCGCTTGGAAGATATTTCACCCTCACGTCACGTCTGTTGGCCTGTGTACAATGTATTGCCACTAGATTGTCTATGTTCTGATTCAATGAATCTTGTAATTGTATTGAGTAACATTAAATCTGTTAAAGCTGGCACATAGCTGCATCATAATAACCAAGCAAATGTGACATTTCCTGGTTGATTTAACTAAAACAAGAACCAGAAAGGAAACTACATTGACCTCTGATCACAGATATTATTTATTTTGTAAGTTGTAGTGTATTCCATCCAAGCATGATCCTTCAGATGTGATTCATCAGTCTGTGACAAGTGAAGCCTATTGCTGCTAATGAAGTTCAACTGACTGTGAAAAGCCTGTTCACGCCACGAAGTCTAGCCTCAAACCTAGTTGTTGAGACCTCCCTCACAATACTCATGTCCTAATGTGAGCGAGTTGCATTTTAAATGCATAGAACAGTTGTGTGTGAATTACAGTAAGTTGTGGAATTAGCCCACAAAGTTTATTTTGCCAGCTTGTGGGGGATATTTGATGTGCAAATCCCAATGTCAAATACACGCATTCAGCTCTTTCATCTTGGAAGGCAAATACACAATTAAAATGTGTGAATGTGTAACAATCACGTGTTAATCGGCTCATAATCACTTGGGTGTTAAACAAAGTTAGAGGAAATCCCCCAAATTAAAGGGTTCACCTAAAAATCTAATTTCCTTAAAACGAGATCTTCTCTGGGACAGATTTGGAGAAATTTAGCATTACATCACTTGCTCACCAGTGGATCCTCTGCAGTGAATGCCTTCAAAATGAGTCTAAGCTGATAAAAACATCACAATAAATCCATCATTTAGGCATTTTAAACTTGAAACCCTTGTTTCTGACCAAAATAGTCCTCATCCATATCTATATCCATCCATAGTCCATAATCTATAATAATGCTTCGTGCAGTGAAAAAGTCCATCCCCTGTTGTCCTCTCACATCAAAGTCCACCAACATTTTTATAACTGTTTGGACTGTTTTTGCTTGTAAACAGTGCTTGATTTGTGTATATTTCTCTCCTGATTCAGACAAGACAACTTTTTTTCCACTGGTGAAAGCAGTGTTATGGATAGAGAACTTATATTGTAGCTGGAAGTTTAATGATGTAAGAAAACGTCTTAATGTTGGATTTGTTTCTTACGAACACACAGCGTTTCACTTCACAAGATGTTAAATGATGGACTGGAGTGGTGTGGGTTACTTGTGGATCATTGTGATGTTTATATCAGCTGTTTGGACTCTCATTCTGACGGCACCCATTCACTGCAGAGGATCCATTGGTGAGCAAGTGATGTAATGCTAAATTTCTCCAAATCTCTTCTGAGGAAGAATCAAACTTGTCTACATCTTGCATGACCTGAAGGTGAGTAAATTGTCAGCAATTATTTATTTTTGGATAACCTGTTCCTTTAAGTTATGTAAGACACCCTCTCATTCTGGTAGTTTAGTTCGGTTTACCAAATTCCAATGTATCTGCAATCTACAGTCACATGTGAGTTCAAATAGAGCTAAAAAACCAGCATGTCTGTCAGGACTAGTTTTTTTCTGGTCCATGAGATCTTTCTGAACTAACACCGTAAACATTTCAGAGGTGTGACCTCACACCTTTGATTAGGAAATTACAGTCTTCTTAGTTAAAACTGACATTTAAAATGAAACTAATACATAATTTGTGATCCCATTCATTGAGCACATCGCTGAGAACTTTCGGATGACATTGCAACATATATCATTTATGTTGAAATCTATGTATATATGTGTGTCTTTGTTGATGCAGGAGTCAAATACGACACTTCTGTTTGTGGGAACTGCAGTCACTGATCTCGTCCACCACCATCATCTGCTTCATCACTACAGGAGCCCTAAGAAGGTGTCATTTTCAGACCCCTGAGGTCAAAGCTTCATGTCTAGCTATGAATGTAATCAGAATGGTGTTAATCATGTTAACATGAAGGAGCGGGTGTGATGTGATTGTGTTTTTCTCATGCTCCTCTCCTCACATATTTTGATGGAAGCCAGACTTAATGATGAACTAAGTCTTATCTGTCGGTAGAGCTACTGTGTTTGTTAGTCAGGGAATGATTTGGATTTGTAATCTGAGATGCAAACGTCTCTGACCTGAATCAAACATGTCATCAGCAGTAAATTAGCGTTGACCTTGAAAAGCCCAGGGCCTCAGGAGTCTGGGATCATCAGGAAAATAAACACAAACACAAATAGAAGTTCTTCGTTATGGTTGGTCAGCTTCAGACAAAGTGTAGCGCTGAAGCCATTGGTGCATGTCTCAGAAATACTGTATACGATTGAATTGTGCATGCATTTAGCGTTTCAACACTAGCTTTGTTCTGGGTAGCTGACAAATAACATGGGGATCAAGATTTATGTTCAAATGTATTAATGGAAAGTGCTGTAACTGGTCATTATATGTTTTTCAGTATTTTTAAATCATATTTTAGCTTCACTTAAATAGTATTTTGTTGTGACAAATAAAAAATACATGTAATTTTAATCATTTAAAAAATACTATGTAGTTGCTCTTCAAGTTTAGTATGTGAAATTGCAAGATGTATATGTTTAGACAGTATATACCATGTTCATCTAGTTACATCTATTTATAAATATGAATTTCGGGTTCAGTAATATATTTTTTATGTTTTTTTAAGAAGTCTCTTATGTTCTACAAGGCAGCATTTATTTGATCAAAAATACAAAAATATAATAAAAATTGTATTAAATTGTTACAATTTAAAATAACTTTTATATTTGAATATATTGTAAACTGGTAGTGTATATATTAGGCATTAAGATTTATGTTCAAATTTATGTATGATTAAGGAAAAGTGCTATAGTTAAGCCTACATTTTTTACATACTCTCAGTTTACTTTAATAGTCCTTCAGTGTGGCAAATTAATTTATAAAATAATAAAAAGTATACATATAATTTTAATAATTTTTTTAAATATTAGTAGTTGCTCTTCAAATTTAGTGTTTTAATACTATATAAATTCACAATACCTTTCAGAGGTTTGGGGTCAATAATATTTTTTATGTATTTTTAAAGAAGCCTCTTATGCTAATTTATGGTGATATATAGATTTATAGATATTTACTTTTTACAGATTTACAATGTGCATCATTATGAAATGGATGTAAATTGTTGTTTACATATATCTGAATAGAATTCATTTGAATTATAATTATTACAATAAATACATTAATAAAATTCAGCATTGTTGCCGTTTGCAATTTTGTGTTTATAATTGCTCATTGCAATGGTGTATATCATGAATCTATCTATCTATCTATCTATCTATCTATCTATCTATCTATCTATCTATCTCTCTGTCTGTCTG